AATATTTAGTACATATTATTTTAATTTGGATTCACATAATAAGAATCATATATTTATCATATTATTTTAAAAAATTGTATATTTTTCAATATGTATATATCACGCTTTGAATCCTTTTATTTTCAAATTAAACATATTGCCGTTGTATCTAATACACATATAGTATCCATGCATCATAGATCTTAACATAATATGTTATATATGGTGCAGATCATCCCTGGATGAGAGTGGATGGAGATGCATCTGATAAGCCTCTTGATATTGCTGTTTTATCCAGAATGAAACAATTCCGAGCAATGAACAAACTAAAAAAAGTAGCCCTGAAGGTAAATCATCTTTTATCGTCATTTTTTTTGGTTCTCATCATGAACATCATCAAGTTTTTTGTAAAATATCTGCAAACTCCACTATATTAAAATCCTTTTGGATTAAGATAGTATGCGTTAATGGAAAATCCATAATATAAACAAATAAATATGTAGAGAAGGTCTTCATAGCTGACTTGATCAAAGGATAGATGCTTTTGTTTCTTTCAGTTAAGCTAATACTTTGGCTGCTAGTGAATCCGCCTCCTCATATGCCAATGTAACGATTCTAGTACTTTGGAAGCAGTATATTATTTAGTTAGCAATAAGATAGATCCGTCTTAAAGGAATTCGTTTCACACACACCTTCAAGACTTGGTTTCACACACACCCTCAGTGTCCACTATTCGGATTAAATGGCTAATGAAATGAATTTTATTAATTTATGAACTATTTGATTGCAGGTTATTGCTGAAAATCTTTCTGAAGAAGAAATTATCGGCTTGAAGGAAATGTTCAAATCCATGGATACAGATAACAGTGGAACAATCACATTTGAGGAGTTGAAAGCTGGTCTCCCAAAACTGGGTAGTAAACTTTCTGAGTCCGAAGTAAGGCAGTTGATGGAAGCGGTAAGATCAGTGTCCTCTTCTTTTTCGGTTGTAAGTTTTCTTATTGGTTCTTCCAAAAGATTTGCACTCCTTTGTTGATTACCTAATGAGAATGTTTGAAGTTTACACGATATCTCATCCTATCTCTAAATGTGACCTTAAATACTACCCAAAGTTTTGTCACCCAGCATGTTGTAAGAAATTGCTATTGTAACATGAACTGGCAGATACCCATTGTGGTTTGCTTCAATTTTTACTATTCAGACTCTTGTATCTCTGGTTCATTTCATCGCAGGTTAAAAGTAAATTGAGTAACCTAAACTTGGGTTGTTTGATGAACTTACCCTTCTTCTATAGTATCTCAAGTTAAATTTAGCAGATCATGGTGAACAGTTATATATTCTTTCATAAATGAAAGGTACTAGGAAGCAAGAAAGACTAAAAAGAAGAAATTAAGTATGAAAATATTTCTTCTGCAGTAACAGGTCTGAAAAAAGGGTGTTCAGATCCTGGTATGTTCTGTGTACACGGTTATGATAGTGTCTAGTCTCTCCCAGCCCAGGCCTAATTTAACCTACCTTATACATATCTTTCTTTACATACTCTCTCTCTCTCTCTCTCTGTACAACAAACTCAGGTGCATTTCACCTTTTCCCAATCGTTTCATACTCCTTAAGCATCTTGGGCCATGGGGCCACATCACTTAACTACTGGAGCTTGGCTCCCCATAGCTAAGTTAGTTTGTGTGTGAAATACCGTTAAACTCATTCTGTGCAAGCTCATCCTGTTTTGTTTATATCTGTATCAAAAACCTAGGTTTGCATTTGTGATGCACTTATGCTAAACACATGGAGATATTCTCCCCATATCTAAGTATCTCTCCTAGCCCATGTACATACCTTATATACAGTTAGCTCTTTGTTTGCACTATTATTTCCTGTCCTGTAGATAATCATAAGCATGTAATCCTTTTTTGCACGTATAAAGAACTTGGTGCTTGATGCATCTATGTGCTGTGTGTAATAATCACCGAGACTGGAGATGCCAAGATGGATAATATTTTCATGGTTGCATGATATTGTAATCACTAGTCTGACACTTCTCTTGATTTTACTGATGTTTCTACATGATCGTAATTATTTGGTTCTCAGGCTGATGTAGATGGAAATGGAACCATTGATTACATTGAATTTATAACTGCTACCATGCACATGAATAGAATGGAAAGAGAGGATCATCTATATAAAGCCTTTGAATATTTTGACGATGATAAGAGCGGGTAATTTAATTTATTTTTCATTCATAATTTATACTATAGCAACATTATCACCTTAAATGTTGATTTTTGTGGTGGTTTTCTTCTTGTTGCTTCTGTTTAGTTACATCACAATGGAAGAGTTGGAATCTGCCCTCAAGAAGTACAACATGGGTGATGAGAAAACAATAAAGGAGATCATTGCTGAAGTTGATACTGACAATGTAGTTACTTTCCTTTTACTCTTTTTTGCTCCTTTATATATGTTTTTTTAGCATAATCACAATCACATGCAACAATAATGTCATTCTGTAAAATGCTGTAATTATATTGTTGGGTAATACTGCTTTCTTCTTTCTTTATAGAACAGGTCTAGAATTTTTCCTGTCTGTTGTTATCTAGAAAAGCTGTATTATCTCACAGGGAACAACATTAACTCTCAAATTTCTTGCAGGATGGAAGAATTAACTATGATGAGTTTGTAGCAATGATGAGGAAAGGCAACCCAGACATAAACCACATAACCCAAAGACGTCGCAAATAAGTTCTGCATTACTTTGTTGAGATCAGAGTCTTTACTCGTTTTAGTATTGCGGCCTGCTATTTGACTGGGCACTTACATGATATTTGTGGGTCTAGTTGCACCAGTTTTTTTCCCTACTGCTCGAGCAGACATGAATGTGTTTTCTATTTTGTACAAATCCAAGAAAAAACAGATCCAACTTTTTTCTGTAGTGAGTTTAAGAATGTGCGATTTAGTTTCTCTTGGTTTACGCTGAGTGCTAACTTTGTATACCAGATAGATCCTACGGAGACCTATTCGTCTTATGAATAAAGTAATCTCAGAATGTGGATATGTCCCAAGGGCAGATCAGGTATACTTTGTAATTGAGTTAATTGATTCTTCAAGATGTGAATCATGGCCTGCAGTGTGAGAATATGGATATGCATTTTGTGTCTGCAGAGGTACTGGGAAACATAACGAGAGACCATGCAGAACAGTTTCTGTACTGTGATAACTCCTAATCTGCTTTGTAATCTCAAGGTTGGCCTTTCTCTGCTATTTGCCAACTTGTAACAATATCAGACTCTGAAAAGTGAAACAAAGTCAAAAACCAATACTAAAAAACAATTATAACAAAAGTGAACAAGTTAACAGAATTGATTTATGGTAAATTAATTGATGATTTGCCTTTTTCCATCTAATTATCTATGGATTTTTTTAACTTTGACCCCTTTTAGATTATGTTAATAACCCGTGCAGTTTATAATGTAATGAAATTAATTTTAAATATATAAGTATAAATTAACATATATTTAAATGAGCCTTGATTATGGTTTTTTATAAACATATTTAAGATTTTTTTTTCTAAAAGTATTTTAACTAGATTATCTCTGAACAGTAATGCCATTTCATGAAGTAGCAACATGAAGTAGCTACAAACATGCAGAGACAGGTATTAGCATTTTGAACAATGCTTCTTACACAAATTCCATCATACAGGCTTATGATTATCAATCATCATAATTTATGTCATTACGAATATTAGAACAAACATTCTCTAAACTATTTTTCATATTTATTGATAGCAAATTGTTATTTTATCAAAACATGTTATAGATGGAAATTGTCTTTTACCATTCTGAAAATTATATGACTGATGTCACGAGAATAAAGCTTAAAAAACTGAATTAAATAAAATATATTTTGCGAATAGTTTTGTTAAGTAAAATGAGATTAATTAAGATTACTTATACTGTAGACTGTTTAGTATATATGCTAATTTCACTTGTTAAAATTTGTGAAAATACTTTTACAAGAATAAATTATTTATGACATGGTCTCTCAAATATCAATATTAGGTTATTATGAGGGGATATATTTGATTCATTACTTCTTTCACTTCTAATTAAAAATCATTAAGTGTACAAGTTTATTGTTTTACATAATAATTATTTTATAATTATTATTTGTTCAATTTAACTTAAATTAAATTAACTTGCTCGAATTAGGTTATTTATTGACTGAATTTAATTTTTGTGAATGTGGACTATTGTTCAAGTAAACTTAAATAATCTAAATATGATTATAGTTGGTTTTCAGGAAGGTTGAATATGGTAAAATTAAATGAATATGTGTACAAGATTATATTTGTGGTATTTATAGAAGTGTAGAATTAATTTTGGAAAAAAAAAGGGTTGAATCAATTTCTTAAAGACAACTCTTTAAATATGATTCCAGATGTCTCTATTTGTATGATTTTTTTTAGCTAATTTACACTGAATTAGTTAAAAATAATAAATTATCTAATTTTAATTATTTTAAAAATTATTCTTGCATATTATAAAATGAAGTAGTTGGGATAGATTTAATATTTATGATTCTTTATATTTTCAAATAAGAGAGATAAACTTTTTGTGATTTATTTTAAATATTTAATTAAGAGCGTTTTAAGAAAAACAAATCAATACATCATTCAGTTTAAATACAAATAATTTTCTGAAAAAAAATTATAAATAAGACGAGTATTATATATATTAAGAATTATTTCCAGGTTAACTTGCATCATCATTAATGATTTTGAATTAAAGGTAAAAGTTTAGACTATATATACAAATAATATAATAGTTTATATAAATTTTGTTTGTTTTTTAATGTAAATTGGGCCTAAATTGTAACTCAGACCAAGGAGTGTTTGGTTGAGATATTACAGGCACTTTTACTAGTACATCTTGCAATGGAAAAACTAAGTTTATTGCGTAAATAATAAAATAATCAAACACGGTCTACATTGGAGGCAATTTCGCGGTTCCAATACAGTTGGAGTTGATTTTTCCATTCCAAAAGCGAGCGCAACGAACTCTTGTTCTGTTTTCTTCTTCGCTATGAGCTCAGATGCGAGTAGAGAACGAGGTGCATCAACCGTGGTACATTGTCTCCTCTCTTTTTTCCCTCAATTCAAACATGGACTTAACCACAAAGTATATTACAAACGTTTTGCTATGCTTCTGGAACTTTCTTCGCCTGTTTTCCGTTTTTATCAGATTCGTTATTCTGAGAATCGATGGAATTCTAACGAATAAATGCGTATTGAATAAGCACTGTTTGTGTCGACGTAACGAGATAATGTGCGAAGTGAAAATGAGATTTGTTGTTTCAAACTCCGTCGTCAATCTAAACGTGGATAACTGGCCTGAAAACGGAATATGGTTTGGCTGTATAGTTTGAAAATTTGGAAGGCATATAAGCAATCACAGGCAAATATATTTTGCGTCAGAAAATGAGAAAGAGATGCGAGTTGTTGTGTGGAGAGTATGGTGAACGTATGCTACGTTGGTAGAAGCTTGGGAAATGAAAATGGAATTCTTCTTGAACACAATTTGCTACAGTATATCGTATGCTATATTGGTAGAAGCGTTTTATGCAATATTCGTGTTCTTCTTCATTTCTTTTGTCTTTTATTATTTGGTGGAAAACGAGCAAACTTATCATAGTTGTATGTATGCCTGCGCGGAAGAAAAGGAAATAGGAAAAAAAAGCATTAAATATCTATATAATCTATTATTTTGTTCATTGCTTTCCCTTTGAACCTAAATGTTATATTATTAAAAAACTTGAAGTCATATATGTTCATAATATTTTGTTTTTTTTTTCTCAATTAACAGGTAGAGCGGAAATTTCAATGTAGAACACTTTTGTTTTTGGCATACCAAAGTTTTGGCTTTTTGTTTGGTGACTTGAGCCTATCCCCACTTTATGTTTATCAAAGTATTTTTTCTGGAAGACTAAAACCAGTCCAGAATGAAGATGCAATATTTGGCGCATTTTCTTTGATATTTTGGACTGTTTCAATTGTTTCTTTATTGAAGTATTCAGTTATTCTTTTAAGTGTAGATGATAATGGCGAAGGTAAGGACTCTTTTCTTTATTTTTCTGTCAAACTAAGGTCTTTTTGTTACTCATTACTATAATTATTGTGGTAATGCTAGTACATTCAATACGTACAGGGGGAATTGTTGCTTTGTATTCACAGCTTTGCAGAAATGCAAAATTTTGTTTGCTTCCTAATCATCAAGCTTCGGATGAGGAGCTTTCTACATATCTCAAACTTGGTTCCTCAAATAGAATACCACCATCTCCTTTGAAAAGATTCATTGAGAAACACAAGAGTACAAAGAAGGCTTTGCTTATTTTTGTTTTACTGGGTGCTTGCATGGTAATTTGTGTTGGTGCACTCATGCCTGCCATTTCTGGTAACTTTACATTTTTCTCATTACAAATATGTTATTGTGTCTGGTGGTACAACTTATCTGATTGATGTTTACCATTGCATCAGCTCTATTGCTAATAAGAATTCTATCTTGCAGTTCTTTCATCCATTAAAGGCCTGGAAATTGAAGCAAAGATTACAAACAAAAGTAAGTGGAAATGATGCTAATCTTCCTCCAAAGTGTCTAGTACTCAGAGCTTAAATGATCTACATGAATAACCCGCTAGGTTTGGCCTAAATGTGAGGGGGTTTGTCTAGTTTGCTCAAGCTCTTACTTTCAAACCTTGTTAGCATCATTGTGCACACAAAAAATCTAAATGAATTAAATCAACCTACTAATAAATTGATACATACAGACTATATAGAAAAAAAGGTAACATATAATGGAATATTAAATCATGGAACGTACTTCAGAAACTGTTATTGTTACTTAAAAATAAAGTGATATTAAAGACCTTGACATAGATAACTCCCCTTATTTTATGCCAAGCTTATTATATGGTGCATGCGTTAATTAAAAAAAAGTATCAGTCTCTTGATTACGTTGTGCATTATGAGCTTCTTTATGAAAGGTTGAATTAAGCTTGATTTTCATTGTTCTTCAGCATAAGCAAAATTACTGAGGAACAGTATCTTGATTATATAATCATATTTGGAGGCTCAAGATTGGTTTTATTTAGTTTTAATATTGATAATTGATGTATGGTTGTATCTTGTATGATAAAGATTTGTTCTCATGATAACAATTGAGAACAAGTCTCACTTGACGTTTGTTATACGCTACTGGTCCTATATTCCTTCCTTGAAAAATATTATGCATTTTTGTTATCAGAACATATGTATATATCATTTAGGCGTGGTCTCGTATTTCCTGTGTTCTACTGATTGGACTTCTTGTTATGCAACATAATGGTTCCTACAATGTTGCATTTTGTATTTTTTCTATCAAAACTTACGTATATATCCTTTCATAGGTGTGCTGTCTCGTATTTCCTGTGTTCTAGTGATTGGACTCTTTGTTATGCAACACCGTGGCTCCTACAAGGTTGCATTTGTATTTCCTCCCATAATCATTCTATGGTTACTTACTATTTTCATGATTGGCATTTACAATGTCATCAAGTGGAACCCACGAGTATATGGGGCTCTTTCTCCGCACTATATTTACAAGTTCTTTAGGCTAACAGGAAAAGGTGGTTGGGTTAATCTTGGAGGAGTATTTCTGTGTGTTACAGGTCTGCATCTCTTTTAAAATTCAAATTCTGCTTAAGCCTTATGCTTTCCAAATTCATTATTTTTCTCGTCATTTCCAGGAACTGAAGCTATGTTTGGAGACCTTGGTTACTACAGACAAATACCTTTGAGGGTATGTGTGGCCAATAAGTATTAAGTTGGCTTTGATTTCACTGTTAACTTCCAATGTTGTGTTCTCGAATGACCCTCTCAATAGATAATACCCAAGAACTATTAGTGTTATTTAACTTCACGTTTCTGTAAGGGTGATTATTATCTCCTTAGGTCAGTAATAGTATGTGTACTAAGTTGTAATATACTTTTTAGACTTTTGATGTGCCTGTGAAGAGAAATAGTTGATGTTATTATGCTACTAAAGAACTGAACAACAGATTGAAAGATACCACAACATACTAATTTATATTATACATATATTAGTATAAAAAAGACAAACCTTTGTTCATAATGCATAACAAGTGATGGAGTATAGGTGATGTAGAATTTAGGTTCGAAAGAGAAAGAAACAGAAAGACGGGAAAAAAATACGGGAAAGGTGGAAGAAAAAAATAGATAGGACAGAGAGAAGAGAAGAGAAACAGAGAGGTCAAAGAAACTGTGCACTGCACTTGATTTTCATTTCAATCTAGATTCAACTGTCCAGAATACAACAACCTACCTCACTTTTAGGCATGCCAAACAACTATGAACTAACAATAGCTTACTAACTAACTAGCATCCTTCTCTTATTTATATTTACATATCAAAAGGGTTTATTAACCTGTAGGCCAATAACATTTAGAAAGTGATTCTTTAATTTGTTATCTAGAACATTTTGGCTAAAGTGGAACGTGCGAAATTCAAACTTTTAGTTGATTTACCTGATTGGTAATGTATTACATAGAACATACTTTCATCTAGGGGGGACAATGCGGGCAGGCCAGCCCAGGCCTAGGACTGGCCCACACTTGGCCTGCAAAATGTGGATTGGGCTGACCCGCGCCTCTTGTGAAAAGCGGGCTGAATATTATGGCCCACTTCGTATCCTTTGTGGCCCGCGGGCATGCGGCCTGACTAATATAGCAAGAATGTTCTCCAGTGAGTTGACTTTGGCCTCTGCCTGGATTCACCTGTTGGTTGTTGATCTTTTTGCTGCAAGGTCGTGGATTTTATCTTTGTCTTGGTTTCTCATTCTTTGCATATTTATCAAATTCTATCTATGGTTCTGAGTTCAGGCAAGTTTTTCAAGACGGACTGAAGAATCAGATTGAAACTCGACATTCTGTTTCTTTTTGCTTGTTCTTTAGTCCTATTGGGATTCTTACTTATGTCATCATCATCATCATTGCTTTACAGAAAGTCCACGAAATTGAACTTCAGCTCATGGTTTTGAACAAATGCCCCCAAGTTGGGAACAATTATATATATGGACCAAAAAAGTAAAGAAAATGAAATAAATTTATATAGGAGTAGAAATTACCTTAACCATAATATAATCTGCAAAAACTCCCTAGTATGAAGTTAATTTTGTACTTCACATTTTTTTCTTATATGCACTCATGTAAAAATTAGTCCCAACAGGTTCTCCCCAATCCTTGATCTGTTCTATACTCAGTTTGCAAATAAATTTTCCAGTAGTATTCAAAACCCAGCAGGAAGTACCCGATTGGGCAAACAAGTTTAAAACAATGGGAAGATCGAAGCTTCAAACTCACATTCGAAAAGTTTCAATCTTCCGCAACACGTCACTTAGATGAACCCATGGAGAAATATGAGAATGCTGTTAATTTAGTGTGGCCAGGCAGACCAACCCGTCCCATCCCAAACCCACGCGGGCTTAATTTAGTGTGGTCCGGCAGACCAACACGTCCCGTCCCAAACCCACACGGGCTATGGGTTAAGCGGACCAGGTTTATGCAGGTCAGCGGGCTCAAAATCTTAGCTCGCCTTAAGCTTTTCATTGCATGCCTGTTACCTGCCTCCTCAAGAATCGACAAAACAAGAAGAGTGAAAAAAATGTAGACAAAGATCCTTTTTCTATATTATTCAACAATTATCAACTCCAAACACAAGCATCAACTTACAAAAGAAAATTCTTCCTTTATATAGACATTCTCAGAAAGCCTCACCCCCCATAACAACTAACTTCTTAACTATTTTTATTTTTAAATTTCTTCCTATAATACACTTTCCAACCCCTCTCATTACTTCCCTGCCTAACAGGTCCTTTACATAATATATTGAGGTCTTAATAATGATTCCTCATTTTAAAGAGAGTTATAACTTTTAGATTGATTTTATTTTTGAAAATGTTTGTTGTAATTTTTATAATTTGTTATTGCTCCCCATTACTTTGCAGGTTGCATTTTATTGTGTCATTTACCCATGTTTAGTTCTTCAATACATGGGGCAGGCTGCTTTTCTTTCCAAGAATTTATCTGCAGTGCATATAAGCTTTTATGCTTCTATTCCAGGTCAGTTAATGTCAATACTAAGAATAAAATATCTCTGATAGGCCTTCTTGTAGAATTCTAGAAGAACGTGTAAATGTATTATGTTTTTGCTCCTGGTCTCACAAAATGTCATTTATGAACTTATGCTGACACTGACAAATTGGCAAGTATTAGATACAAGTTCTGGTTCTCCCTGGCCAATTTAGGTGGGGAAATTTTCAGAGATAAGATAACTTTAACCTTTGAGATTATTAATCTAACAATGAAATATTTTTGTGTGAATTCTATTTAGGGTGGACGTTTTACTGTGTATTTTCTTTTCACAGCATGTTTTTAATGAACTTTAACTTTTTCTTATATAAGTTGGTTTCACTTACATTTTCTATTTCTGTAAATTATTATTAATTTAGTATGATTTCCTAATTTGAAAAGTGATATGTATCACGTCTTGCTTAAGGTTATTGTTTCAATGTTCTATAAATTAGACCATTTTGTGACACTGTCTTTTTCTAACTGAATCACAACCTCTAACTAGAATGTATTTGATCTTATGTTGATCCGAAAAAGCCGAGTTCTTGTACATGAACTGTACTACTTTTAATTTATGGTAGAGGTTGGTGAACAAATTGGTAGATCAGATCCATTTCCTACCCCTATTATTCAATGTATCAAAGCCATTGTCAACTAGTTTAGCTTAACATTATTCGATAACTTTGGAGATAAACCCTAGCCAGTGGGTTTATCGTTCCTTGTGGTTTAGTACTCTTTTAACATTTTTCCCTATAAAAGAACCACTTAGACGATCCATGCATATAATTATCTTAACTTTTTACGTTAGCGTGCCGTGTATATATGCTTTCAGTGGAATAAAATCACCGTGTACTTGTAGTATTTGTATCAAGAAACTTACTTTAATGGTTAATGGAGCTAAATAATTGAGCTGGTACTTGTCTTGTCATATGTTTTTTATAAGACTGCAGTACTTGCTTTCTAGTATCCGTAATATATTTCAGAATGTTTTTGTCATTTTTGTAGATGTTCTATTTTGGCCAGTATTTGTGGTGTCTGCTTTGGCGGCAGTAGTTTCAAGTCAGGCTGTCATTGCTTCAGCATTCTCAACAGTCCAACAATGCCATGCATTTGAATGTTTCCCTCGAGTTAAGGTTGTGCATTCCAGAAGGTGGATCCCTGGCCAGACATATATACCAGAGATAAACTGGATTCTTATGATAATAAGCTTGGCTGTGACAGTTGGTTTAGGAGACATAAACAGAATAGGACATGCTTATGGTAAGTTGACAGAGCACCAGATGGTTGATTGGAGAATAGTGATGTTGGATCACAAAATACAATGAAGTTTGTTGGTCCAAAATCATAGATTACTACAGAGATGAATTCTCTGTATAAATTACTAGAAATCAGAACAAATCTTCCCCCCTAATTCCCCTCTTACACACAAATTTAGTATTATGTATTCTAATTTTCTGTCCTAAGCCGTCATCATCAAAGTTACTATTCAAGGTATTCTAATGTACACCTGCTTTTGTTAATTGTTTTTATATTACACAATTTGAAATGTTACTTTCTGCTATTGACTGTTATATAACCTCCCCTAACCCTCAGTTCCCATCATAAATTGTGTAACATTTGTTTTTATCTAATAGGGTATTTATTTTAATATTATTTGATATGGAAATATGATTGAGTTATGATTCATTAGCACTGTAAAGCTTTACATGCTCAATTTATAATGCCATCTATTTCAAAAATAGTAACCCTTACTGGAAGTGAAAATTAACATAATTTTGATCCACTGTCTGCATTAGAAATCTCTAAATTGTTCATCAATCGCGTAGTCCAACATTATTAGAAGAGTTGATTACGATATTAGCTTCCCAAGAACTTTAAGCCTTTTTTATGATCTTGCAGCACAATATTGAATGCTAGGGTAGAAGTTTCGCTAACAGTGAAACAAAATTAAACTTATTTTGCACGATTGTGTTATAGAGGGTTCAACGATTATTTGTGAAAATACAGTGATGTTCTGGGTTATTTTATATTCACTATTTTTTTCAGATCGTGGTTGTTAGTAACATCATCCTTTTGTTTACAGGAATTGCACATCTGATTCTTGTGTTTGTGACCACATGTTTGACATCACTAGCCATCATCCTTGTATGGAATCAAAGTCTTATAATTGCTCTGGCGTTTGCTTTATCCTTTGGTTCGATAGAGATTCTCTTCCTGTCATCATATAGCCTGAAAATCCTTAAAGGTGGCTGGATTCCACTCGTGCTTTCTGCAGTCTTCATGGTTGTAATGTATGCGTGGCATTATGGTTCCAGGAAAAAGTATTTATTTGACACGCATAACAAAGTTTCAACGAGGACCATCCTAGCATTAGGTCCTAGTCTTGGGATTGTTAGAGTTCCTGGAATGGGCCTTATCTACACTGGATTGGCTACTGGAATCCCTGCCAGTTTTACTCATTTCTTGACAAATCTGCCAGCTTTCTACCAAGTGGTTGTTTTTGTTTGTGTTAAGACTGTACCTGTGGCTCGTGTGCGACGTGAGGAACGTTACCTCATTGGTCGAATTGGTCCCAAATCTTACCGGTTGTATCGATGCATTGTCCGAAATGGTTATAAAGATGTGTGCAATCACGAAAATTATTCTGAAAATGATTTTGAAAATGAACTGGTGATGAGCATAGCTGAATTCATTCAATTGGAAGCAGAAGGTTGCTCTGGAAAGGCAGAAGGTTCAGCGGATGGACGGATGGCGGTGGTGAGAACATCAGGGAAGTTTGGGACACGATTGCTGATGTCGGAATCTTCTTCTTTTCAGGAAGGCAACAATATTAATCTTCCGGGAGCTTTGACCGTTACTAGCAGTAAATCTCCAATATTGAAGAGGCTGCAGGCCATGTATGAGCGGGAATCGCCTGAACACATCACTAGACCACGAATTCGATTTGAGTTGCAAAATGTAATATATAATGACCCACGGGTCAAGGAAGAACTCATGGAACTGGTAGAAGCCAAGTGCACTGGAGCAGCGTATGTAATTGGGCATTCTAACGTGAAGGCCAACTGGAACTCATCATTTATAAAGAAGTTTGCTATCGACCTCTACTCTTTTCTCCGGAAAAATTGTCGGGCCCCTGTTGTAGGACTAAACATTCCTTCGATTTCTCTGATTAAGGTAGGAATGAATTACCATGTGTAGCTTAAGTTGTGACTGTTTTGACAGGGGATGTATGTAACGTGTAACAAACCGAGTACTGAGTGGGAAAAGCAGGCAGAGTTAGTCACATCCCAGGAACACGTAGAGGAATATCCTATAATGGGAGACCAGAGGAAAAGTGAGGAAGAGGAAAAGCAACATTAAATTCAAAGATTATGTGACGTAGTGGGTGTGTCTCTGGTATGTGAAACCTCTGCCTTTCTGACTTTCTCTCTCTGTTATCCTTCACCATATTTCTTGATTATTCTCTCCTCGTTCTCCGGTTCCTCTGCCGTGAAAATCCTCTCTCATCCGTCTTACATATGTTTCTTTTCTCTGCAATATGTTATGCAGCTTGATACTTTTACATCAATAAAATTCCACGTTCTTACCCATTTCTGAGTTATATATCAGTTGATATTATTGGTTGTTCCTGTATTTTTATAGTCTTTGTGCACACAGTTACAATGTAATCTATGCAAGCCAAAAAAGAATTCCCCTTACCTTATGTTTGGACGAGGGATTTCAACAATTCTACCAAATTTGAATGATTTACTATTGAATTCTCTTCGTTTTTTAAATAATTTGTTTTGTTTGAACGAAGTAATTGAAATATCTCATATTTCAATTTTTTTTTGGGGATAAAGTAATTTAATTTCTATTTTAAGACAAACTCAACTTTATCTCAATTGAGTTAGCTCGACCTTCGACTCGTCTCGATTTTTAGTTTAGATCGATTCTAAAAAATTACACTTGGGTCGATTAGGCTCGATCTTTACTCTAGGATAACTGGACTTGACCTTCAGCTAGGATTTATTGATTTCAATCTTCAGTATAGGCTGACTCAGTTCGATCTTTAGCATGGGTTAACTCGTCTTGAATTTTGAAACAAGCCAATTTGACTATACCTTTGGTTTGAACCAACTCGATTAGACCTTTGACCTTGACTAATTTGGCTTGACTTTCGGCATGACCCTACTCTGTTTGTCATTCAATCGGGACTGACTCTACCTGATTTTTGTCCTAAACTGACTTGGCTCGACCTATGGCTTGGGCCACCACGTCGATATTTTGCTCAAGCCAACTCAACTTGACCTTGATCGAGTTGACTATGCTTAACCTTCAGCTTAGATAAGCTTCGCTCGACCATCGATTAGGCTAGCTCTACTCGACCATCGATTTGAATGGGTTCCTTCAACCATGGGCTAACTCGGCTAGACCATTGACTTGGGTCATCTTGGCTTGACTTTTGGCACAATTCATCTTGTCTCGACTTTTGGTCCAAGTCGTCTTGTCTCTATCTTTATCTCGAGTTCACTCAACTAGAACTTTGTCTCGACTCAGTTAGAATTTTTAATGAAATTTTAAATTTTTAAAAAATTGAATTTTTTATGTTATTGCTTTGGTAATTACATGATTATATTTTTGAATTAGTAAATATTAATAAATATCTTTAAGTTTTAAATATTTAAATTTTTTTTTTATAAAAGTATAATGTTAACAATTCAGTTTTTAAAGACATTAAAAAAACATGCAGTATAAGTCTAGTAGTTATTTAAATAAAAAAATTGATAAAATAATTTAAATTGATTTCTCAAAATAAAATATTTAAAAGAAAGATGAAATTTAAATGCAAGTAATTGAACTTTCCAAATCCTTGATATTTTAAAAAAATTCAATGAAACAATTAAATAAATCAATTTGATGTATATTTAACAAATATTTAATTTCAAACATATCACCATGTAATGTTTCAAGCTTTTTTGAGGGAGTACACAAAATACAATTTATTTGTTTGAAGATATATAATGTTTATGTGGAGGGAAGAGTGTTTTAGACTTGTCAATTTACTATGATTTGATTTGAATGGAAGAAAAGCATAGAAAGTGAATTTGTTTGCATTTGAACAGCAGACATATACAAAGTAATAGAATGGATGGAAAGCAATTATTTAAACTATTATAATGGTTTTAGAAAAAATAAATTCTTTAAACAGGGTATTATTGTGGTGAAAATAATCAGGACAATTTTAGTGTGAGACAAGATACTTTTTAAATTAAGTATATTGATTTTTTAAATAAGTGGTCTAAAAATAATATCTAACACATTTATTTTATTCATTAGTTATATAATTAAATTGACCTTATGTAAAGATATTGATGTTTAATTTCTTCTTAAATTTTTCATATTTAGTTTTACTCAAATTCCCTCTCTCTAATGAGTTGGATTACCCTCCATATTATTTATATGATCTTTATCATTTTTTTCTAATGGGATAATGATTTTTTATTATTAGTTTGGTTGGTATATACTAAATACCCAGCCACCAACCCAGAGACATGATTTTCTTTGTATTTGTATGGGAACACCATTTACTCAACACATTAAGATTCAATAGTATCTATCTGTGAGCATTAATATTCCCAATTTCCGATTGGCCATAGTTGCCAGATGCTACATCAAATCTGGTGAGAAAGTTTCTTCCTTTTTTCAAAAACCCTTATAAATTTAGGGTCAGAATTGAACACCACGAGCAGAACGGGATATACCATTTCAATGAGTCTGGATAGGAAACAAGCTTGACCTTGGTCGCTGTCTTTTGTTCTCCTTGGATGGAACAAACTGAAAGTGGGTAGAAAAGTTTCAAATCACATTCTCCTAGCTACCTTCTTATCCTAACCATAACAACCAATCCCCAAATATTAAACCCTTTTTGTTGATGTAAGGGACTAATTAGCAGGGTGGTGTTTGGGTTATTAGCCCTTAGGGTTTATAAATGTTGAGTACCTCTTCTTATTCTGCCTTTAGCCGCTCCTTTCTTCCGATCAAGGGTTTTCCCCGACCCGTCGCACTACGTCCTTTTCCTCGGATCTTGGAATCCCATGCCAAGTCTCCAAGAAATGTAAGCATTATGTGATACCTCTTGAAACTTGTGTTTTTTATTTTCTCTTTTTATTTATGTTTCTGTTATTTGCTGTTGGAATTATTTATTACATTTTTTTAGAGCTTCGAAAAGAAAAAAAAAAGAAGGGTTTGGAAATGTTCTTACCTTTGTCCCTATGCACCTGGGAATCTGAGTCCTCTGTAATTCGTTGTTTTGTGGGGGCTGATGAGTTTTCTTTCTGTGCATGCACACACACACACATATATAGTCGAACCAATTGTCTGAGCTAGTTCTGCTTCGCTGTTTTAATTTTTTGGGGCTTTCCTTGCAGAGATTGAGTATTCAGTGCTTTAGGCACGATCATCTTTCTCCAGAAACACCCCAACCTGAAGTTATAGAGCACTATTTTCATGAGGAACTGGTGCAATCTGAATTCAGTGACTCCAGTGTTGTCACCAAAAGAGACTGGAAATCATCCCTTCAGAAGGTCACATGCTTATTGTTTACTCTTATGACAAATGGTTTTCCATTTTCTAAGTGGATGTGTTGTGTGGTAATTTAAAGCTTGGTAGTCATATTGAGGAACATGTGTGCTAGTGAACGAAATTGAAATCTGCAGCTGATCCCTACCGTCAAGTTTCATGTCAAGTAAAATTCACTCACACTAATTAACGATGGTTTACGTTGGGTTTTCTTTCCTCACTGATGATAAGTAAACTTTGGGATGGTTTGATGGAAGTAGCATTCATTTATGTTTTAAAATCAAGAGAGCTAAGTAATTATTTGGTATGATATGCTGTTATGTGGAATTACTTAATGTTCTATTCTGCATCCTTACTGATAGATTCTAGTTTGCATTTGCTAAATGTGCTTAACATATACAAATATGAAGGTTACTCTTATCAGATAGGGGAGGTGTTACTTGAAAATAATATACGAACTCTTTATAGCTTAATTGCTTGAGCGACAACTCTCTGTAGATGTATATTTATGTACATGAACAACTACAATCATAACCCTTGATTCCAAGGATGACAAGTAGATTGAAAAGAGGAAAATAATCCATGTATAGTGTCTAAGTTTGGCAAGCTAATGGACATTTAATAAAAAATATTCGACATTATTCCTGAAGCTAGAATTTATAAATCATATGCTTGCATCCTTTTAGTTATCACATGTACCCAGGGCCACCCAGAGAAATTTGGTGAAGATGTTTGCTACTTACATACAAACTATCCAATATCACTTTGTAAGGAGGCAATCTTGATAACAAGTTGATGAAATGGTCAATGGTGAGTGCCTGTTGTGGAAACAAAAGATAAACAAAAATCTTAGAAACCTGTAACAAACAGTCCATATAAATTTTTCAATGCAGGAATCTCTTTGATAATTTCTTGGCTCCATTTTGGGTGAGGGAAAGCTTCCAATGTTGTCTTTGGGACAGACATGGACAGTGAACGAACAAGAAGTAAAGGCATAATAGGAAGGAGAACGATGATAAATAAAATATTATAAACAGGATTGGGTACCTTTTCAGACGTGATTAAATGAGGAGATGTACTGTCCTTTGGAGCAATATCTAATGAACGGGTAGTCAGTTGTGCTTCTCAAGAATAATCTGAGCTTTCTTTGTCTAGTGTCCACATGATGTGTTAGGGGCTGACGAGTATACGAGAGAAGGAGATATAGGAGAGGAAGAGAAGGGGACCGTACGGTAGAGGACAGGGGCCGAACGGTGGAAAGGGGGGAGCACGATGGCCGAACGGTTAATAACAAGGAGCGAGCGGACCAGATGATAGAAGGGGGAGAGGGATCAAACCGAGCGGTAGAAGGAAGAGAGAAAGAGGGCCGAACGGTGGGGAGCAACGAGGAGCATCCTAACTGACACATCAGTTAGGATGGGCGGGAAATTTATTTGAGTTTAAGGACGTATCTCAGGATATTATTACATATAGGTTAAATGTAGTAAATAAGGATAAAGTTATTCTTACCAGATAATCATAATAAATAGGCATAATTACTATTATTCTTTACCTTTTCGGGAGGGAGTGATTACTATTGATAAAGGGGGAACCTAGGGTTTTAAGGTATGTTTTTGATTGAGAGTTTTGTAAGAGAGGTTAGGCTCTCAGGTAAGTAACGGAGACCCTGCACCCAGTTATTGTTTGTTTCCTTTGATACAGTTATTTCCATTTAATAAAGAGGTTTATTCAGCGATTTACCAGTGTTTATTGTCTGTGAGTGTGTGAGCGGTTGTGTGTGGCAAGTTTACGTACTCAGGTACCTAACATGATGTCACTGGTGATAGATTTGAAAGGCTAATCTTTGAGAGCAGGAGTGACAGTGGAAGTAATGCTTCAGTCGTGGGACAAGTAATTGTTACATATATTGACGGGAAATAAGAGCAGAAGAGAGAGGGACAAATTTTTTGGCAACTAACGTCGTCATGTTCTAGAAGATGGTCATGTTCTAGAAGATGGTCATGTTCTAGAAGATGGTCATGTTCTAGAAGATGGTCAAGTTCAGGGAACTACAATATCCAACATGTATGGTTCGTCTGGTGGCAAGGAAATCATATGTGAAAAATAAGTGAGAAATAGGATGAATGGAAATAGGTAG